GAAATTTGAAAGTCATCGGTGGCAGAGCTGGCGTGCGACGGTCAAAAGCACCGTGACACCATGACCGCATCTAGCTTCGACCAGCAGCCAATGACAATAATGACAAGAGGGTGGTTGGCTCTGCGTTTCTCATGGGAAGTGGAGGTTGCTACTTAGTCAATGTATGTGATATGTGCTTTTGTGGATATGCTTGCTTCTGTATGTTGCTTCCATATGGTTTGAGCAAGAATATGCTTTGAGCGAGAAGGTGTGATGCTAATGACCAAGCTGTACTTCATAAGACGGGGACACGGCCGATAAGTTTCCTGGATGATGTGTTTGCTAGAACATGGAATCAAGAACAAGACGAACATACCAGCACCCTCCAAGGGTGGTCCATTTGTACCTGCAGTGCTCTTGTGTGAGCCATTTTGGGTACAAATGGACCACCCTTGGAGGGCGCTGGTATGCATAAGAGAATTAAACTCAGCAGACCAAAGCTGCAATGAGACGACCCCAAGCGGGAAAACTGAGCACCTCAGATGCAGCAAAGTCCGCACCTCACAGATCCCAATGTCTCCAAACGGTGCCGCCAGGACATCAGCACTGTGCTGAATGCTTTCAGCTCAGTAGACTTCAAGCAGGAGGCGCGAGTGGGGAAAGTGAGAGAATGAAAAGATACTTTGGTGTGGCCTGAGCCGCTCAGACCTTTGGCAAACTCATGGCTTCTCCATTCTTTGGGGGAAGAGCAAGCCAGTTATATAGTGGTTATATGGTGGTCGTACAACCCATGGTTCCTGGGGCTAGCGGATTGGGGGCAGTATCACTTGCCTCAATTGTCTGAATATCTCAGCAGGATTGATCAGAAAACTGCAAATTGGCCGCTTTTGCGTTCGTCTCACTTGTCTCACTTGTCTCAGTTGCTCAAAAACAGCAAAATCGACAGGTTTCGTGGAAAGTAGATGGCAGATGGTTCATGGTGTAGTCATTCCCTTACCCAAATACAGGTAATTGTGCCATCTACTTTCACGCTTCATGGAACCTGCCTGCGGGCCTGCTTGAGACAATTTTCCTGGGACCTTCTGGTGGGTTCCGTGGCAACGTGGGAGTCTAGCAGGGAGTTTGCGGGGTGCCTCGAAACCAAATGTCATGAGTATTGGACCCAAGGGCGCAACACAAACAAGATATGGGCGTGTCTTTCATGGTGGTTTTCCTTTTTGTTTCCTTAAACCAAGGAAAAGAGGCTTCCCAACAAAGAGACACACCTATATATATATATATATGTATACCTGGGTCTTCCATTTGGTCACTTTTTGGGGCTCTGCGCATTTTTTTTGCTCGTTTCAGATTTTGAGCGGAAAAACTAAAAATGAGCGGAAATATTGATTTGCAAGTTGTGTCCCAGAAAATGAGCGGAAATCGGCGGGAAATGAGCGGAAATCGGCGGGAAATGAGCGGAAATGTGCGGACACGCACCAGAACCACTTTCCAATTGAGCGTTTTATTTCGAATTGAGCGTTTTTGGATGAAATGAGCGTTATTTTTGCTCGAAACGGGAAAATCCAGAAAAAAGTGCCCACGGAAGACCCAGGTATATGTATATGTTGCCTTCAAAGGAGCTTCACCAACGAGGATCGTTCTGACAAACCCAGGCTCACCTGGTATCGGGCTCGGCCACGATGAAGGGGTACTGGCAGTTCCTCATATCCGGTTTACGAATTACAAGACCTTGCCGAAACGCTAGGGTTCAACCCGAATTGAATGGTTGACCAAATTACGATGACAATCCTCAGGTAAACAATGGTGGTTATATGAACCCATATTCTTGACTGTTCTTGGGTTGGATCTTTAGACTTTAGCTTTTTGGGAAATTAAGGGGTTTTTCACTAAACCCACAGAAGTTAAACTTTATGCAGAGTATTGTTTCAATGATTGCAGCTTCAGCCACGCGCCCCGTTTGTTTGCCTGCAGGATTTGCTGGAGACCTTCTTGGGCAGCCTCGCGCAGGAGCTTAGCTAAGCGCCAAGCCAAGCAAAGTCGATGAGTTCCCTTATGGCTTTGTTGCATTTGGAGTTGGTTTAAGGAGAAGCCAAAAGGAAAGCCATCATTTTTTGGCTCCCCTGGTTTAAGACAACACCCCATGTTTCATTTGTCGCATTTTGCTTGGATGTTGGGACTTTAACTTTTTGCCAACTAATGTTTTTTTTCCATTAAACCACTAAAAGTTAAACGTTTAGCAGGGGAGCAGAAAGCAACCGAGATGGGAATTTGGACGCTTTATCTGGGGTTGTGTTTTGTCCGAAGAATGCCCTAGATATGTTGGTGTGCCTTGGGGGATGGAGCATGATCTTGAAACTAGCTGGGGGCACCGTGGTTGCTCTAAATGTTGCTATCCTTTCAGCTGTTTCCTTCAACAACCATCAGTTGTTTCCAGTTTGAGACATGCCCAGTTGACTTTCCATTGAAACATTCGCCAGGGAACTTGTAGTACCATCACTCAAACTCAGCACGCTCGGATATGCCAAGCGAGCCACCCCCGTTATTGCGGCCAAACTCATTTTGGACATACGGCCACACAGTTGTTTTGCGGAGTTCTCCGCATGATTTGTTTCGCGAGTCAGAGCAACACGCGGTACGCCGGGTTAATTAATACGCAAGGGGTAGGTTCATGGAAAATGAGTCGAACAATTTTGCATAGCTCGGAATTGCAAGAGGGGGGTTCAGTTCTCATTGTGTAATCCTCCAGGCAACACAAACCAAAGTTTGATCCCTTGCCATGAGAGGTTTTCTGGGTGACAACAGCTTGTGCGGGAGAAGCAGCGGACAGTCTTTGTAGCTGATGGTTCATTGGAGAAGAAGCACTCGCAGGCCAACCACCCAGAGGGTGACCTTTGCAGCTTATGGGTTTGTCCCTTTTCAGCACTCGGTGGATCCACAATTTCAGGGCACATGTGCCAAGGGGAGGAGTGATTCAATGAACTAGGTGGCTTTCAGTGGACGCCTTTGAGAAGGAAGCTTTGGACGCAAGGCTTGTGGCTTTTGGGCTACAAGTTGGGCTGAGTTCATTGGAAAAAAAAAACATTTTTTTCGGGATGGTCTCTACCTTCAAACTGGGGGGAAACGCCTTCAAAGGCTGGTGGACGTCAAAGGATGAAGGGATCCCAAGTCGAACTTTGGAGAACAAAAGATACGCCAGCTAAAGAATACCGCTTTCTGCCTGGCATTCTCCCCCATCCCGCGGGGGTGGTGTTGTGGTTTTGAACGCGTCAGGAGCCCCTGCTTTCTGAAGCGAGCCCCGCGGCTTTGTGTCGGGACCTTGTGACCTGAGGGCACGAAGGACGACAACTGCGGTCATGTTTTCCGGATGTCCCAGGAAGAAGCCGCAAGAAAGGCTACCCTCCTTCCAACTTGGAAGGGGAAGTGGATCTTCTAGTGTTTCCTCCAACAAATCCGATGTTGGTGGGAGGAATGAGAATTATTAAAACGTTTCAGAGTCCCCACTTATTCACTATTCACTACTCATATTTGCTTCATGGAAGCTCTTTGGCTTTTGCTTTTTGTTTTTTTGTTCGACCAACTGTTTTATTTTGCTTCCTTTAGAACGAATAGAAGAAGCGGAGCCTCCATATTCCGTGCGGATGCTGCTGACTGGTGTGTGTGTGTGTGTCTCAAGAAGTAGCACTTGTGCCTCCAGCAATCGGAAGACTTGTATACATGGGTGTGGCTCAAAATTAAAGAGCCAGGGTTACGCATGCATGTACCAAGGTGCCATTTTGGTCTCCACTTTTTTGAGCCACAGCCACATGAGCGCATGAATGGTAGGACCCGCATAGCTGACACCCACCCAAAAGCCACAGCCCCAGCTCCTCGCGGTCAAGATGAGTCGCTGACCCATATTCGTTCATTTGGGTGTGTCATAAAATGAAGAAGCCCTCAAATGGACGGTGTTCCTTTGAGTTCCCTTTTAACCCCCCCAAGGCTACCAGCAAGAAAAGACGGAGCCTGTAAGTCAGAAATGGAGCTCCCTGATTTCCAGCTATGGGTTTGCGCCTCACCAAAACGCCTACGGAGGGCCGGTGTATGGATCCGTGACCGGGCAAGAATACCGACCCCATTGACCTTGTTGGACAGGAAACTAACAGGAAGGCGCCCAAAAAAAAGTCGCCTGGTTCACAGCTCTGAATTCCAGATAAACATGCCTGAAAACCAAGCTGTCGCTTGAATCTTGCCGCTTTTTTTCGTTGAGTTGGAGGTTAGCCTCTTTCCAACAATCATGCAACCCGGGTACTTGATTCTTGTGAAAGACATCCAACACCCCTATGTCAGCTTTCATCATTCGTGGAAAGAGACACCCCGCTTCAATATTAGATGAGACAGTGGCCCGCATGCAGAGTTATGAAAACCGCACACGACATCCCTCTTAGGCTGTGTCGTTTTTGGAGTTGGTAGCCCTTGTTTGTGGTTCTAGTCAGAAAGCAACAGGAAAACCGATGCTATTTTTCTAGGGTTGATTCCTTTTCCATTCTTTTCAACCATCGTCCTTTTCAAAAACCGGATCCGGTTTCCCTCAAATTCCGGAGGTTTTCTAGAAAGACGCGGATCCCTGGAAAGCATGGAGAAGGTACCCTAGTTTTTTTTTTAGGGGGTCCCCTTAGGGACCCGCATCCGCATGAAGTTATCGGAACGGAGCATCCGAGGCCTCAGCTTCAACGCTTTGGCGCCCTCGGCCTGGAGATCGGACTCGAGATCGTTGGCTTTGGCTTTTGCTTTCGTTTTTGCTCGACTTCTCCCCACCGTTGACTGATTTATCTGACTTGAAGGTCTTGTTGAGGTTTCGGCAAACAGGCCCCAGAGAGTGTCACCACTGAGCAAGACAAGAGTTTTCAAGATTTGCTCTTGTTTTGACTGAGCAAGACTGTTGCTTCTGCTCTTGTTGACTGTTGACTGATTTGAAGGTCTTGCTGAGGTTTAGGGCAAACAGGCCAATGAGAGAGTGAGTGAACCGTTTTTGTTTGTTTCAAATGCGGCCCATTGCCAGTCACCCTTTTTCTCTGGAACCAGGTTTTTGTCTACGTGGACTAGTGGACTCTCCAACTACCCTTGAGAAAGGGAATCCACCCCACTTTTTTGGGGCCACAACCAAGTTTCAAACGCCAGGCGCGGCTTCGGTGGCGAGCATCAGATGCTCAGGCGCGACGTCAAGCAAAAGAAGCAAAAGAAGTCGGTCGGGCCAATTGGTTTTCCTTCCACAAGCCCCTCCCTTCAATGAAACAAAATACTTTTGTCTGGGGTACCACGATGCCCTTAAATACAGTTTTGTTGGAATGTTGAAGCTGTGAACCAATCATCTTGTGCGAGGCTTGTGTTTGTCGTGTTTTTGTTTGGCGCCGGAGTACCATTTTGGGGTAGGTGCACCACCATGTTCACTGAGGGTATGGGACTTTGACCCACAGCCATGTGTTTGTGCCGCCTTTTTGTTGGCCGCCCAGGCGGCGGACGTCTTGCGCACGCTGGCAGAGAAGGCCAAGTCTCAGCGACTCGGCGCAGAGTGGAATCCCGAGCGAAGGAAGGTCCGAGAATTCTTGCTTTAGGTTCTCACTTTTTGAGTTCCATTTCGGACCTTCGTCACTTTGAAAGACCAAATTTTAGCGGTAGATAAACAGCTTGGACGTTTTTGGCCAGTCCACTCAGGAAGCAAGGGTTTTTGAATGGTAGATTGTTTATGCAGGTTATTGTCCACTGGAATGTTAAAGTAAGACCTGGTTAGCTATGGTGATAAATCTCTGGGTCAGCTAAGACTTTTTGTTGCCCAAGGGAACCCTTTCAAAGTGAAATCAAGAGGGTGCTTGCACCAAAAGGACAATGCGTGTAGCATCCTAGAACCTAGTCAGAACCCTTTTGGAAGAGAAACCCAACCCACTGCCATGATATTGGAAAGGGATGTTGCAAATTGCTTTGTGGTAATGCCCTCAAAGCAGTTGGAGGTTGCATAAGTCTCCCATGTGAATCATGCCCACCGAATGGTGCCCAATTTAGGGTTAGAATGCCCAGTTAGGCCACCACGTTTCCTGGGTCAGACATGGGAATGAGTCCCAGAGGGTCCAGAACATGGTTCTTTTGGGCGGTTGCCGGTCATTGCACGGATTCCTCATAGGGATGCGCAAGGATGCACAATCGAAAACATGGCTTCCCTAAGTAAGGTTCCGCCAAACATAGCAACATCTGTTAGTTTTTGCAAACGCCATCCAATAGTCGTTGTTATTCAGGAATGTGTTGGACAAGGTGGTTCAACTATATAATCACGCTATATACATACCTAGAACTTATTTAGGAACAATTTCCCAACATTTTCCTAAAACAACCAAAATAACGCGAATTGTTTGGAACAAATGCTTTTTCACAACAAACACAAGTTTCGGTTCGACCTCTTCCATTGTTGCTTGCCATTAACTACTTGGCCCTCATCAACTTTATGGTCAATTTCAAGCCTACGAACTCTAGACTCTTTCAACCTGTGGACAGTCATCAAACTACCATGTTGAGTATATACCATTCCTCACCAAATGTTCATGAGTGCCACGTAGGACTGGTGCCCAGTCCGCAACTTGTGCAAGCGACACAAAAACAGTTTTAACAAAGTGTTTGTTTTTGCTTTTCCGCCGATTTCCGCGCATGTTCCGCCGATTTCCGCGTATTTCCCGCTGATTTCCGCGTATTTCCCGCCGATTTCCGCGTATTTTGGGTGGCCAAATTTGTGGGAGTTTGGCTCAAATCCATTGATTGCACAATTGGGAGCAATTTCCTACACCTTGTTTGGGGTTGCGGCGCATCCCTGCACCATGTCATGGAAACCTACATGTCCCACTCCTATTCTGGAAGGTGCCTGCATGAAAGCCCTTCGAGAATCGCTGGTCTATATATAAGATCAGGCTAAATCAGCAGAAATCGCTGCGACGCATGCAATTGGCAGTTTCCGCCTAGATTGCGGAAAGTCCGCTCATTTGGCGAAATAAGCAAAGCAACAACGTAATATGCAAAAACATGTTCCTTTTGGAGGGTCCAGGTATACATATATATATATATATATGTATGCGCACCCCCCCATGAACTACCTTTGCAGTATATGTTGTAGCCAAACAGCTAAAGACATGTGATACTGAAAGAAACAGAACAATTCAGAGAAAACCAACAGAGAAAGTCGAGAACACCAAACAAGCCAAAACGTTTGGCCAACCCACAACTGGTCCTCAAAGTGTTTCTTGGTTTTCTCGAGGTTTTTTTTTCCCCAAATATAACCAACAACCAAAAAGCAGTCCAGATTGTTTGTTGATACTAAAACAATCAAACATCTCACGGAAAACAACAAAAGCTCGAGAAACTCGAAATAACACTTTTGGCCACACCACGTTTTGTCCTCAGAGTCGTAGTTTTTGTTTTTTTGTTGCTCTGGCCGTATGGATGATATTTCTCAACTTTGTTCTTCATTGTCGCCACTTAAACTACACAAATTGCTGAAAAACACAGTGTTGTTTGCATACAATTACTAGACAGTTTCGAAACCTGCGGGTTGTTGCCAACTCTTCATAGTTAGCATAACACAATTCGAAAATGGAATCCGTTTTGCTCTAAACCTCGTTGTTATGACAAAACACAAGAACAACACATTTTTTTGTTTTTACATTTTTTTAGGCAGAGCAACACAGGTAGTTCAATACTATATAAATAATAGGGGCTAGACCTCGACACACATTGTTCTCCTAAGACTTACTGTACCCCGCAGCCCCCCACAACTTAGCCATGGAACCCAAAAAAGGGATACCGATTTCCAAAAGGAGCTTCCTCTAGAAATGCTCCACTTTTTCGGTCAAATTGTTGGAGAATTGTTTGGGCCCTACCTGAACCCGCAGAAACTCCCTTTACAAATTGGTTATAGCCCCAACGTTATGGTTGGTGAATTCCCTTTGTTCAGGGGTAGTTTGAGGGTCCAGGTGCCTGAAAAGGAGACCCCCCAAAATGGATATCGGGGTTCCTTTTGGTTTCCCATTGGATCCACCGAAAAAGGGGGTAGCAACTCCACAAAAGGAGTGTACCCGGAGTCTCCATGACCCTTAAAACATGGGTCCATGACCCCATGATTTTGGGTAATGACATACCATTTTTACAATGTCAGACCCAGAGACTCCAGGTACCTACTCCCAAAACCATAGGCAACAAATGAGAAATGGAATGACCATCCACCTGGTTCCCTTTTTCGGGACTCCCGTTTCGGTTCCTTCCCTCATTTCCCGCCTCATGTCTCGCGTCTCTCGTCTCAGGCTGCAGGACTTGGGCCCTGTGGGCCTCACGCAGCTTCTGCACGCCTGCGCCAGGCGAGCGAGAGAGAGTTGCGGTGGCGGTGGAGCCGAAAGCCGCGTCTTTTTTTGGGGAAACTCCCTTTGGGTTGGAGTTTGTGTGGGTGTGCACTTGTTTGTTTGTTTGTTTGTTGGTTTGTTTGCTTGTTTGTTTGTTTGTTTGTTTGTTCGTTCGTTTGTTTGTTTGTGTGTTTGCTTGCTTGTTTGTTTGTGTGTTTGCTTGCTTGCTTGTTTGCTTGCTTGCTTGCTTGCTTGCTTGTTTGTGTGTTTGTTTGCTTGCTTGCTTGTGTGTTTGTTTGTTTGGTGTTTTGCTTGCGTGCGTGCATGCGTGCGTGCGTGCTTGCTTGCTTGTTTGCTTGCTTGCTTGTTTGTGTGTTTGTTTGCTTGCTTGCTTGTGTGTTTGTTTGTTTGGTGTTTTGCTTGCTTGCATGCGTGCGTGCGTGCGTGCGTGCGTGCGTGCTTGCTTGCTTGCTTGCTTGCTTGCTTGCTTGCTTGCTTGCTTGCTTGCTTGCTTGCTTGCTTGCTTTCTTGTTTGTTTGCGTGTTTCTGAAAACGAACCATTTGGAAGGCTTCAGTTGCTATTCGGTGTGACACCCAAATTGGTTTTCAAACTGAGTTTGACTCTCCAAGTAGCTGTTTTCTTGATGGCCTTTTGTTCATTGACCTTTGCATCCTATAGTCTAAGAAACCCCCATGGCTTCTGAACAGAAACGCTGTGTTGGTGTGTTTGTCTGTGCCTCGTTCTGTTTGTGGTTTTGCCTCCCTTTGAAGCCCAAGATGCTAAACTGTATTTTTCCTGTGGCAGGGTGGGAAGAGGCAAGCCCTTACGTATGTTGTTAATTATGAATGTCAGACAACCAAATGGGTATGTGTCAAAATAGCGGAACCCTACAAATATGTTTGGCCGTGTGGAATGAGTTAACAATATGACAACCTTTGTTGGATGCGTGTCTTTGGAGCCAACGCAAAAAGGAAAAGGAAGGTTCCTGAAAAAAGAAAAAGAAGAAACACAACACACACACACACACCCTGTTTTTGAATGTCAGGGTTTGCCTATGAACCTTCTTGGGATAACAAAGGGACCGAGACCCCTTTTGAAAAGTTGCCAGACTCTACCTGTTCAGCCTTTGCCCCTTTTTTTTTTTTCGGGGTTTCCATCATTCTCCCCGCGCAAAAGACGTGAGATCACTTTTCGCAGGTCGGCGCTGCAAGTGTAACCTCTTTGTAGGACCCAAGAGTTTCCCCCACCTACCAGATCAGTCAAGCGACCGGATCTAATTTGATTTACTCTTGTTTCCTTGGCCCGTTTCAAGTGATCACCTAAGGTTTTCTGGGCCCCGGATTGAGTTCCACCCCAACCCCCTTCCCAAGCCACCCCCCAAATTCCACCAAGCCCCACCAATCCCCCACCAAAGCCGGCCAAACCCCCACAACCCTCAACCATGGGGGGAAGCCGATTCCCATTTTCGACCGCTTAGGTGGGTTCTACCTGGTGTTACAACTATTCCCAACAGAAACGTGCATCGAACATGTTAATAGAACCAAAATCCAACGGGTTTAGGTGGGTGCGCTCATGCGAAGAGAAGTCCCTTGTTGTGTTGGAATCCTTTTTCAGGTTTATTCAACAAAAAACAACTAACCGGCCCGCCCCCCCCAATTTTGAAGACACGCCCATAGCTGTGTGCGTCTTTGCTTTCAGAGTCTCTTTGCAATTCGCCGCAGGCTGCCACCATTGCGGAAGCATGGCATGGTCGAGGCCGGGGCAGGGGGGAGGGCGGAAAGGCCGGCGGAACCGCAAACACTGGGAAATAGTGTCCGGTGATCTTGAAATCAGGGCCTGGGATTGGTGGCTCTGGGATTTGAACTAAGTATGTTGGTAGCAAGAGAGCGTTGCAAGGCAAATGCGTATGTTTTGCCCGCCCTGTCACTCCATCTTCCTAACAGTGATGCTGGTCGCCTTCCACGTTTCAGCTCTTCAACGATTCATGTCCATCCTGTTTTCTGTCGACGCTGTGTATTTGCGCAGGGATCAAGTTTGTCTTTTTGGCGTGCCTGCAGGGTGGGTCTTTGGGGTCATCCTGCAGGCTTCTTTTCGAGTTTGTTCTTCCCAAGTAGCATAAGCGAACCTCACAAGCGTGTTGCCCCAGTTCATACGGCTTTCTCTCCAGCTCATAGTGCTCAAGGCATGTTCTTGATTGGCACCCTGACAAAGCCTTCGAGCATTGAGGGCCAAATAGCGTTGGTAGGACAGATCCAATCCGCTGGCCCTTGAAGAGAAACCAACACCAGAAGTTGTTCAAGTTATGAGGTGGTTCGAAGAGCAGTGGCTGAAACCCATGCTGAAAAAACAGCACTGGGCACTCAGCTCGAGCTCTGAGGGCATCTTGGAGCGGGCCCATGACAAGCTGGACACCTTTCCAGCCCAGCCCGGGGCTCGGCCGGATGAGTCGAATCGCTCGCTCGGCGGCAGGTGGGGGTGGTCTGTTGGTTTGGATTGGGGGGTCAATGGGTTTTAGTGGTGGTTTGAACCCCAGCACTATGGAGCCAAGGGACGCTTGGCGGCCATGATCAGTGTAGCCTCATACAAAGAGTCTGCGGAGGATCCCGTCCCTGAAGTTTTCTTGCAGCCTCGATACCACCCCAAAGTACCAAAGCACCAATCCAGACAACCAATTGGAAGGAAAGGATCGTAGTTTCTTAAACGCATGGGGCATGCCTTTTCAAGGGCACCCGGTGTGGGGGTGGTTTACAGTTGGGTGAAAGCAGATGGCACAATCTCCCCAGTTCGGTTTAGTCATTCCCCTTACTCACCCGCACAAAGGAAGGTAGATGGCACATCTGGCCGCATTTGGGATACGTTCTGATTCTGTTTCACATTTAGTCTCACCCAAACATAACAAATTGGTGTGGAGGAGACTTCAGACAAAAGGAACCCCGCGCCGCTTCTGGGGTGCGCCTCACCATGTTTGCCCAACCTGCCTCAATGCCAGCGCTGGCCTGCGCGCCTTCATACATTCTTACCAGCTTTGGGCAGCATCCTTTGAGGTCAGGTTTCTCTTACTCGAGTGACAAGCATGCTGCCGGAAGCTTAGGGTTGGCACCCTGTCAAAAGCCTTGGGACTTCCAAAATGGTGTGTTTCCATTTGGTCTCCCTTCAAGCCAATGTGAGGCTGTATAAAGCAACCCGTCGATTCAAGCTTTCTTTTGGAGGACCCTTTTGTCCAAACCTGCTCCGTTTTACTGGAAAACGACAAGGAGTCAGCAAAACCGAGAAGGATCGCAGCCGGTCAGCTGACAACGGCAGCTTGTTGGGCAGCACAAAGGCCAGGCTTGCTTGCTGAACAAATCGATGACAACATGGCCCCTTTGGGTTGGGTCAAAATTAGACCACCGGGGGGACTGCAGGTTTTGGTCCATGTTTCCACTTACTAGGGTTCCATTTGGGGTACCTTTTTTGACCCACAGCCCCTTGCCAACCTATACTTGGTGTGCAACAAGTGTACTCAACAGTTGCCGCTCAAAGTATCCTCCCGCCAATTAACATGGAACTTGACAGGGTGCCCATTTAAAAGGAAAATAGTCTTCCAGGACCCCGTTTGTCAGGTTGAACGTTAATCGGTGGGAGGGTATAGGTGTAGTACATTTGCACTAAAGGGTTGCGATGTGCGAAGTTGAAAGAACAAGAAAAACACAAAGCACTCTGAAACGTTCGTCCGAACAGGGGCCATCAAAACACAACGGTCTGTTTACGCCACCTCGCCCGCAAAGGGTGTCCTCAAAAATGCCCAGGTGAGCCCAACGTGCAATGTCTGCCAGGGTGCCATGAAAAAGAAAAGCACCACGGTGTCCAAATCAGAGGACTCCCAATGTGAGATGTTCTTGCGGGTTTGTCGTTTGAAGGGAGCTCCCCACAACATAGACCAACTGCAAGCTGTGAACGAGTACGTTCTTGCCCCATTTTGAGCAACCTACAGAGGCGCACTTCCCTAGAATCATGGTTGTTGTTGGGAAACATGTTGCTTCGGTTTTGTGGGAAATCTCCACTTAACTGCTAAAATTTAGATGTTTGCTCCCCTTCCAACGTCAACCAAGGAATGTCCCGGCAGGTGAGCCCCCCAGCCAAAGTTTGAATGTCGTCCATATGAGCCATCCCATGGCCGTGCTGGCCTCAATCCCCCAAAGTGACGGCTTTCCTTTTGGTTTTCCTTTAAAACCACCCCACCGGGGGCACCCTCGAAAAAAAAACACCCGCATATTTGTATGTAGTAACATATATATATATATATATATATACATATGGTATATATATATATATATACATAGATACACCTACTAGGCAGGCTTCTAGCAACTCTGAGCCTCCTCACTTTCGGGGTGCGGAAGGCCATCAGCATGTGTCAAAGCCGAGGCTGACATGTATGTTATAAAGCGGGTGGTGAAATTACTATTACGTAGTGGCAACTGCTATCTCTATAATATATGTACACACATACACTAAACAAAATGATAATATGTATTTTTATTTATATATTCCTAAACCACAATGTGGGAATTGTGGCATTTGCTTTCACCAAACCTTTGGGCCTCAAAATATTCCTGGGTTGAAATTCAGAAGCTAGAATCCATCAGCCGACTTTGTGGCAAGCGGTTCCACCAATTCGGGGGGGGAGGGGGAAACCGATCTCACCATGTAGGCTGTTTACTTGGGGATCGAGCTGTTGTTTCAGGTCAGAGAATTATTGTTTGGGGGATCAATCCCAAACAATTCATGCATGCAAGATTTATAGGCCCACTTTTACCCTCCAAATGGGTCAAATGTTGGCATATTTTCCCTACATGAATCGTGTCTCGGCACTGATAATGTCTTATGTGGGGCGATTAAAAAACGGCGTCCTCACCCAGGCTTCCTGCCCCGTCCCCTCTGGAGCTTTCGTTTTCCCGAGGTGTGGGAATGCCCAAATGACCGATAAGACCTATCATGCCTTTCACTTTTGATGTTTCCTCGCCGAGGTCCTTGAGTCTGTTGGTCCATGCCTGCGCGCGGATGCAGCAGAAAGATGCCGCGGGCTTGGTTTGGCACCAAAGTGGTTTTGAGATTATATTATCTTCTTCTGCTTCATTATCTTCTTTATCTTCTTGTTTTGTTCTGCTTCTTCTTCTTCTTTGCCTTCTTCTTCTTTGGGGGGACAAACATGAGTGACCTTTGTCCTCAACAGCAGCCATGGGTTCTTCTCCGACTCCCAGGTATCGGGGGGTCCTTTGGGCGCAGGAAGCCATGGCCGGGTTCCGGGCACGAGGATTCGAAACTGCAGGTACCGCAGGTAGCACCACAGAATGAAGTTGTGACCTCACTGCTTGACTGCTATTGGGTTGGATCTTTAGACTTTAACTTTTTGGGAATTCAAGGGGTTTTCCACAACCTTTTTGCAGGGGTCCACAGCAACAAAAGCTGTTATTGGCGTCTTTCATTGTTTGGTTCTGCTTGTCCCTTTTGTGCATTTTGGGCAGAGACCGCAACTATACATCATAGCTGTTTGCTTACAAACCATGCTACTGGTGGTACTGCTAGCTGCTTGCAAGGGGCTTTCAAATCTAACGATGTAACCTGACAACGGGGCACCTAAACCATTAAGCTTCTGGTGTGCTGATGTGATCTGATGCCCAACAAAATTATCATTCTTGCTTACTGGTTTCAAGCGAACATGAGGAGACGTCAACGAGTCAATAAGTTTTATATGTTGGCTCTCGGTCAACTCCCATTCTGAGAGTTTTTTGTCAATGCATGTGGCCGCCCAAGATGGTTGACAAACCATGTCCATGGTGTTTGGAGGGAACCTACAGCAACCACCCAATTTTGATATTCCTCTCTTTTGAAAGCAAGATGGGTGCGCTGATAGAATTAAGTGCCCCCGCTCAGGTGCCCTTGTTAACCAAAGCCGCGAAGTGCATCGCGCTGGACTCTCGGAGTTTGAGCTGGGTTTGGGGCTGTATCGGCGCTTGCGGATGGACGAGGCACCTGTCAGGTTGGTTTGAAGGGAAAGGGAAATGCGTACTACTCATCTTGCCCAATTTGGGGGGAGGGTCCGCCTAGAGAGAACGAAATGACTGGCGTTGGGATGGAAAAGCTCACTGCATCGAACATGCCATGGGGATCCCAGGTACTTGGGTGCGTGGCTCATTTCCCTCCACGATGAAATCCCAAAATGTTGTTTTGTTTTTTTGAAAAGGAGGCTCCTCTGAAGTATTGGTTTTTCAGCTTCATTCATCTGCAGAAATGAGACAAACCCAGGTCTGAAAGAGGCACTGAAGGTTCCCGATCAACAGGACAGCAAGGGAAGAAGGGAAGCCAAATGAATGAATCAAGGGGAGAGGGACGCCAAGGGGAAAACACCTCACCCGACTCAGAATCAATCCTCATCGCCAGAGTAGAGACTCAGGCCGCTGCTCCCGGAATTCACGGCTCAGGAAGGGAGCCGAACGGGAACGGTTCAGGTGGTCTGAATGGCCACGGAAATTCTGCAAATGTGAGATATTACCTGCATTGGAGCTGGGGCTCTGAACGTGAGAATTGCTGAAATTATTCCCATGTGGGTAAGTATCACCTGCATGGAGCTGGGGCTCTTAGCCTGAGAATTGTTGAGGGTTCTCAGTTTACTTTTTGTGTGTTGGCTTCCGTTCAAGCCATCATTTGGTGGGTAGGTTTGACGGTGTCACTTCAATGTACCAAGCATTAAGCCACGCAGCATGCTGTTCATGCCCTGTTGTATAAATCCGAGAACTGTAATGAAAGGTGTTACTGCGATGCTGAATACGTCCCTTCAGCTACTGTAGTGGTTGGTTGTTTCTTTATCTATATAGTTATTCATCTATTTATTCACAACACCACAAGAGTATGAATTGCCTCGTGATCTTTCGTGATTAGTCAGACCCTCTATTCACGGCGCATTGCGTTACTACACTCCCTCTCATGAAAAATCAAGACATGCTGTTGCTGATAATTACTCTTCAAACATGGGATAACGTGAAGGGACAGGTACAGCTGTTTTTAAAGAAACGCTTTCCCAAAGATCCCACTTGAACCTTGAGTTGGATAGAACTATCCCGCACTTTCCAAACGCCTCATGTTGCGCGTTGACTCCGCAGTTCTTGGCACATGCTGCGGCAAGATGGGTGTGGTTAAAATGGGGAGGGGGCGTGCCAAAACATGTGGTTTTCCTGTTGAATAATTTGCAAAGTCCAACCAAAAAGAAGGAGGGTACCCAAAACAACAAGACTTCCAGGTGTGTTTCCCTTGAAAGTGACACCAAAACGAAGGAGGGCACCAAACCAAGTGAGTGACACTTCCAGGTTGGTCGGTTCGACAGGCCTTGGCCATGACAGCGTACAGCTTTGCAAAGATCGAAGTGCGCTTGGGCCTCGGGAAGCCGCCTGATTCTTGGTGGCTGACCAGCCAACTTGTTGTTAACTCGGTGGTTCACTGGGTTTCCCTTTCTGGTCTGTGTTTAGTAGCGGTCCCAAAAGGTGAACCTTTCTTTTACAGGCCCTTTGGGCAAGTTCAGAGTCAGGACACTCTATGAAGCCACTCCAGTTCGGGAGATTGCAGTCGAGAACCCGCAAAAAAAGCAGCAGCCCGGAGCTGTGGATGGACAAAATCCCGCAGTGGCTAGGTTTCATCCATCCCAAGTGCCTGGCATCCGTGACGCGAATCCCAGGCTCGGAGATCTTGTTTTACCTCCTGGCCGAGCAGATCATCCAGAAGATGCCCCTCTTCTCAGGCCGTGGCCCAAAGCGAAAGCGAAGGCGAAAGCCGAGCGCCGAAACCCGGTAAGGAGGTTTCGTTTCCGGTTGCTTGCGGAAACGTTGCAGCGGCACATATATTTACCATATTGATTTAGCATACGTAAAAAGACATACCACGCGTACTTGTTTGACATGTTTGGGTGCTGCTGCTTGTATTCTGTATACATATTATTTGGATTGACCTTACCCTAGGGCATGAGTCACGCAAGCAAATGCATCCAGCCATGCCTGCCAGGAGAAAGGAACACATCTATTAGGACATATATATATATATACACCAGCGTCCAATAAGCTAAAAGGACGACATGCTGTGATTTGGTTGATTCCCTCAATAGTGCTGAAACTACGAAGCTTTTCCAGGTCCGTCGATGTTTGTGAATTCCGGCCTGTGTTTAGTGAACCAAATGGGTTTGTCTTCAAATACCCGCCCCCCCAAATGAGTGGTTCCTTTTGGATTCCCTGAGAAAACTAACCCGCAAAAGGGGACGGGGCCCCAAAAAGAACATACTAATACACTCAAACAGGGTTCCGCAATTTCCCTGTGTGGAACCTCCAAAAGTGGCACTTTCAATTCGGGGAAATCCAGGCAGCCCCTATCAAATCATTCGAATCCCGGGTGTTAAGCCCAAAAACAAATATTGAGTGCCCCCGGTCAAATAGTTGAATGGCGGGTATCTAATTTCCCCAGCAAAGTTACGACCTTCAATTTGGGAACATCCAGGCACCCCTGTCAAATCATTGGACTCCCACTTCCTGGAGTCTCCATGACCCGGTAAAAAAGGGCAAGACCCCATTATTTTGTGGATACCAACCATTGTTTTAAGGGTCAGATCCGGAGACTCCAGGTATTTCAGTTCCCAAAAAACATCACCATGTTCTAAGTCAGATCCGGAGACTCCAGGCCTGACTTCCCCCCAAAAAAAGCAACTCCCCGCGTTGAACCAGCACCCGCCCCATCCACCAGCTCCGCTTTGGACTTTCGACTCGACTCCGAGGCCAGGGCGTGGGCCTGGCGCTGCAGGCCTACGGCAAGCCCGGGCCCTGGGCCGCGAAGATCGACGGCCCCAATTTTTTTGGGCGGCTCGTTGGGCTTTTTCTTGGAGGGAGCCACCAAAATGAACACGGGGTTTCCCCGAATCCCCATAAGACACCCTGCTATGTTTCAGTTGCTCAGTTTGGACCTATAAATAAAAGGCTAACCTTTTGGAGCCACCAAAATGGGTATGGCTCAAAGTTTTGCAGAGCTGGGGTTAATTACGCGGGTTTTTTAGTCTGAGGTTCCATGTACCAAGGTGCCAAATTGTTGTACCACTTTTTGGAGCCACAGCCAAAATGGAGTTCGGGGTTTCCTTTGAAAACCCCATGAAGAAGCATCGCAGCAAGAAGGTATCCTCAAAAAGACACCCAAATGCCCTTTTTGGTGTGGTGGTCAAAAATGGGGTAACCCTAAAATTGTAAAGCATGCAAACAATTGGACTTAAATCTGTGGTTGTGTGTGTGTGTGTTGTTTTGTTCATCCATACCCATTTTTAGTGGCCCCAAAAGGTTAGCCTTTCATTTATAGGTCCAAACTGGGCAACGGAAACAGAGCAGGGTGTCTTATGGGAATTCGGACCCCGCGTTGGTTGGGATAGGGAAACAAGAGGACACCAACAAAAGGCCCTCTCCACTTTAGGGTACCCCATTAGGTTGCGAGCCAATGGTTGGGTGAACCCTGGAAGATCGACCACTGTTTCCAAACTCGGCTTGGGCGACTTTTGGCTTTGGTTCAAACTAGCTTCGTTTGGTCGCCCTTTGTTTTCACTTGAAGTCTGGTGTGCCTCAACACACTGACATAATGGATACCGCCTAGAGTTGGATTTTCTCATTGCGAGTGTTTGAATATGTTTGAATAAAGCAACGTTTCACTGGGGTTACTCCCCGAGTTTCTGGACTTTAAACCTTTTTGGGAAGACCATCTTAGTGGCAAGCAACTTCAAAGTTTGGACTCTTTGCGGCCAATCCACTCAAGAAGTGAGTAAGCCTTACTCACAGCGGAATGAAGTTCGACCAAGAGGCTTTGAGACACGACAGCTCGGATTTCGGTTCCAAGCATGGCCTCATTCTGCACTAACTGTATGGCAAGCTCACTGAGCCCGGTTTTTTTTTCCCCGCTGCGAGGCTGCAGATCGACAACAAGAAGTTGGTGCAAGCCTGCCCGCGCTCCTGGACTAGGTCCCCCAGTAGTGCCCTTTCACCAACTTTTTGGTTGGGAGGGTTCCCCTACTAAAATAGATTACAGAAAAAAGTCGGCACCCTTATTCTAAGCTCTCCAATCTGGAGGACCTAGTGCAGCTTCAAATCCCTCGAGAGCCGGCGATTTCCCTAGGCAGCTTGCCAGGTCGACGTTCACTCAACCCAAGGCGAAGGCAAGGCCAAGGCTCGGCACCAGGCACATGGTTGTTGTTGGGAAGCAGTTTTTACATTTTTGGGAAATGGTGGTTGGGAAAATACCCACATGGTGGTTGGGAAAAAAGTTCATCATTTTTGCTTATTCTGGTTTAGTGGTTGAAATCCAAATCCACATAACTGCTAACGTTTGAGAATGTTTGCTCCCTTTCCAACGTCAACCAAGGCCATCCGGTTCCTTAGCTTTTTGGCTTTCTAGTGCTTAGTGCTTGGGTTTCCATTTGAACCACCAAAAGTTGTTATTTTGTTTGTAAGGAGAGTTGAGGACAGCCCAAAGGAACTGGACGAATGTACTGTGTGTACATGCATGTATATATGTATACACATGCGTAGTCGCTGATAGCGCTGTCCGCGTGGAAATGGTCGAGCGAAGGAGATGGTTTGCGAGAATTACTGGACACAGTTGACTATCAGGATACGGGTTGCAATGTGTGTGTGTGTGTGTGCGTGTTGAAGCTGGCATTTGCAAACGTATATCGTCTAAGTCTGATGGAGTTTTCCCGGTATGCCTTGACACCGGCAAAAAATGAAATGAGTGTGTCTTGGATTTTGCTTGCCTGTGTGCAAGCATGCGTTCAATCATGTGCGTGCATCACGTCGCGCAAGTCTTCTGCGAGTCTATTTTTCAGCCATAAACACCCGCGAGTTGTTTAGATGATTCTGGGCTTGGACCATTTGAATATTGATTGCGACTCAGTGAAGTCTGCCTGATGAGCTTTGCTTTCGAGGCCGGAAACATGTCCGCGCCCTTTCCGACGAGCTGACTCTGTGGGAGGCGCGTGACCTCAATCCTCGGAAGTTGAACCGACCGTTGATGGGTTGATACGGCAGTTGTTGTTGTTTTTGAGAGTACAAGGGGAAGCCAAAAGGAAAGCCATCATTGTTGGGCTCCCCCGGTTTAAGACAACCCCATGTTTCCTTTGGTGCATTTTGCTTGGATGTTAGGACTGAACAATTTTTTGCCAACTAATGGGTTTTCCATTGAACCGCTAAAAGTTAGTGACTTTTAGCAGGGGAGCAGAAATCAACCGAGTTTCAATCAGGTTGGTCCATGCGAAGTCAGCTCGTCGTCTATTCGAATGGCAGGTGGATGCCATCGAGCAAGGCTTTGAGAAGCTGAATGCGCTGGGACCTCGGAACTTGAGCCCGACGGAGTCTTCGGAACGAAAAATTTGGGCGAGGTGGCAAAGGCTCAGAGATGTGCCCTAGGGTTCCTGGCCCCCATTAAAAGAAAGGTTGACACAATTTGGATGATGACAATCCTTAGGCAAACACTGGTGGTAATATGAGCCCCCATTGTTTTAATGGTGGTTTGAATAGCAGGGTGTGGGGGTTCAAAAAGGTGCTTTACATGGAGCGACCATTGGGGGAAACTACTAATCTGGGGGAAACAAGTTGAAAAATATGATGTTTCCAGCACTACGTGGGACAAGTTTTCCATGGACATTTGGGGACCAGGAATATTGATCAACCGCCATGTCACCATCACAGCCTCCCAGAATGAACTTTGGATGGACCAAAGCCTGCAGTTGGTGGTTTATCCCATAGGGCTTCAGTTATCCCAAGTGGTGCGAATCGGATTTCACCCGCCCACAGGGCGTGGTGAAGGCGAGGCAATTGGAGAGATGCCCGTTTTGCACGAAGGCCAAGATCCTTGCCCCACTCCTGCTGGGTAGAAGCCATACTAGTTGGATAAATTTCAACATGGGAGCCCCTCCAGATGGGCTGGCACCAGGTTAGATGACTTTGGACGGATCCAACACGGTGGTCTCTGTTTTCAGGAGGGTGAGCGCACGTCACATCGTGCACGCGCAACAGCAAGTAGGCAGCTGGCCTCCCGTAGGCGCCCAAAGATTTGTTTTTCCTTTGCCAGCGCGCTATTCCATTTGGCTGTGGCTCAAAAAAACGGTACCAAAATGGAACCCTGGTAAGGGGAAACATGGACCAAAACCTGTGTAACCCCCTCCTGTTTAAATTTTGAGCCACACCCATTTGACCACCAAGGGTATCCTTGCACACCAACTTGGAGGTCAAACATAGGCTTCCTTTAGTGGGATTCTGGGTGCCTAGGGAACATAGTGATGGGGTTCAATCAAAAGCAAGCATGGAATCCAGGGGGACCCCGTCCCAGATTCGGACCCTACTTATTATGTTTGTTTTTTGCAGAGGGGTCCAAACACCCTCAAAAATAGGATATTCCACTTGCAGGTGTGCCAAGTCAACTGCAAACCAAGCTTCATGCTGGTAATCACCCTTATAATTTTGCATATTGCAACCCACGAGTTTCCTTTTCAACATGGGATATTCCACTTGCACGCCAAGTCAACTGCAAACCAAGCTTTATGCTGGTAATTGCGCTCACTGTAAGCATGGGACATTGCAACCCACAAATTCCAATTTTAGGGGGGATGGGATCTTCAACCCACAGATGCCTATTTTAGGTGGTCACCTTTCATGGGAGACTGCCACCCAACATTCTAAGGGTTGATTCCTCGTTCTTTTCAACCATCGTTCTTTTCAAAAACCGGATCCGTTTCCCCGGGTTTCCGGAGGTTTTCTAGAAAGACTCGGATCCCTGGGTTCAGAATGGATATGGAAGGCACTGGAAACATGGGGTGTGAGGTCCCCCCTTTCTCGGGGAGCCCAGGCTGGATGGCTCCAGCGCTGCGCTGCTGCGCAGCTTGCGCCGGCGTTTGGGGAGCCAACACCCGGCAGCGGGCCCCGGCTGAGCCGGGGGGGGGAGAGAGAGAGGCTCGCGTTCGCTTGCGATGGATGGGTTGGTTTAAGAGGTTTGAAGGGTTTTTAAAGGGTTTGCAGTGCCTATATGTTCCGGTGGTGGGGTTGGTTTTAGGTTGGTGGGTTGGTTGGTTCAGGGTTGAGTGCTAGTTAGAGTGAGTTTAGGCAGGGTTCGCTTGGGCTAGCAGCGTGGATGTCCGCGGATGATGGGGATGCATTGGAAATGCAGGGGGCCTGGGGGTGGAGGCATATTATTGGGGAGGGGGCGATCTAGCGATGGGATCGGAAATATGCATACATTGTCTTTAGGACGAGCCTTGAATTGGATGTGTGGAACAATCTTATTCTTTACACTTGTACAATACTACGTGGAGTCTGCATGACCCTTTAATAATGGGTCAATGACCCCATTATTTTTGATAATGACCCCACTTTTTACGGGTCATGGAGACTCCAGGTATGCGCTTTGATAAGCCAAGAATCAACCATCAGATGAATGAGCGAATAGACTCGGATCATGTCCTGGTTGCTCCATGACGTGCCGAGTCTGTAGTCCTACTGGGCATGGCCATGTTGTTCAAGTGGCCCGAAAACTTGTGACCCAGCGGGGACTTCAACGCGCCCGACAACCCGCATGGGTACTGGGTAAAGGGTATCTAGTTTGGAGACATTCCAAGAGGCAGAAACACCTGGGAATTTCAACGTGGGCCAAAAAGGGCGCTTTGAAGCATGAGGGCTGCCCCATGTGGGTGATGTTTGTCTTCAAATGAGGGCCGTCCAAAAACCCCAGTCTTCGGTTTTAATTATCGCCGAACGGTCAAAAGCTGTGCGCGCGCAAGGAGCGCGCAAGTGCGGCCCAAGGGACGCGCAAGGTTGCAGTTTTGAAGGGTTTCATGTACTGATGCTGCCTAGCTTCATGAAAGGAGGTGATATCTTCTTGCAGTACTTATGCTTTTCGAATGTTGCTTGGGTCATGTGTAGGTCACAAGCTTGTTTGCAAAGGTGCGGCGTTTTCTTCAGTCAGACGCCAAACGAAGCCAAAGCTTCTGCGGTCATGACTTCGACAATCAGCAACTGGCAGCTGACACGACAAAATCCGCGCAAGCCGCGCGCAAGCCGCGCGCACGTTGCGCGCAAGCACGAGAAGCCCCAGCAAGACATCTAGCCATGCTGTCTTGGATGCCCTTAGCGGCGTGGTTCAAGCAATGGATAGGCAGCCGCAACACGCACTGTCCTTCTTTCAGGCTGTGTCCAAGCGTGTGCCTGCTGTCCTTTCTGTTGGGTCAAGGGTGCTGCCAGACTTGCCGGGAGCGACCTCAGCGGGAAGAGTCTTTGTGGGTTGCTGTGTGAACGACGAACACACTGCTTAGAAAAGCCAGCGCGCAATCCACACGAAAACTTCGCAAACCGAGGTCAACGAAAACGAGTTTCTGCGCCACTGCGCGCGCGCAAGTCCGCGCAAGTGCCGCGCAAGTGCGGCCCAAGGGCCCAATCCCGGGCAAAGGAATATAGGACAACCCCCAAATGGGGATTGCCACCGAAAAGGCTAGATTTTCCGTTGATGTCTCTTTTAGACAACTCTCAAAAAGGCAAGCTTCCAAAAAAATGGAACCGCGCAACAATGAGCTTGGTTCCCCTTCAACCCCAAGAAGGCTTCTGCCAACTTTTCGTTAAGCCAAAAAACGCAAAGCTGGCTCTGAGACGAGCCCCAAAAAGCGGTGGTTCCCCTTGCAGATACGGCCCCAAGATCGGCACCAAGGCGCAGGCGGATCCCTGGGCAGAGGTTGAAGACAGCTTGCTGCGGCGGATGGCGGAGGAGTCGGGGGAGGCTTCGGTAAATCCAGCGGTTTTGGTCGGTAAAACCGGCAAAACCTGGGCTTCATGCACTTGGTGCTTTTGAGATTGCAGTTGGCAAGGGCTCCCTGTTTGTTGATCCCCGCACGATGCGTGGTAAGCCCGCTGGTTTGCAACCCCGCTTCCTTTATTTTGACCAATTTTGACCAAAGGGGTGAAAACACACGACATTGCTTGTTTTTGTCGGGTCTTTCGCGCCCCCTCCATTTTGACCAGTCAGCAGCACCTTTTGCCATTGCGGAACTTCCTGAGTGATCTCAGGCGACATGTCGCCTGCCGCGAGGAGCCGCCTGCCACGAAGACGCCCGCTGTGCCCAGCGAGCCCAGCGAGCCCAGCGCGCCCGAACGCGAGCCGCGGCGGGTGCCGGGGCCTTGGGGAGGGTGGGTTCGTCGCTCAGCCGAAGGGGCTCCTTTTCTTGGCCACCCCCTCGCCCACAATGAATGCTTTCCTCCCAAATGATGGTTTGTGTGTTTTTTTTTGTGGGGGCTGATATCCCATTGCAGCAAAGGGAAAGGGAGCCTTCCTTTCTTTTGATTGGGGCAATGGGCAAAGAGTGATGCCACATGCCCTTTTTGACAGCTGCAGATGTGACTATCCTATCATATCCTGAATCATGCCTAAACTAGTAAAATAGGCCCTAGGATTGTCCCAAGATGTCAGCGCAGCTTTTCGCTTCGCTTGAAAGCTACGAGCCTGGATGGTTTCAACTACTTTAGGACACAGCTTTCAGGAGTCGATACAAACCCTCAGTTGTTCAGTGGCAATTATTTTCCTTTTGTTTGGTGGCTGCCCCACTAAAAATGGTCTTCCCCAAAAGGGCTCCCTTTTTTTCCAGGGTCACTGAACAACTGAGAACCACATCACTTGTAGTGCAGGAAGGACGTTGCCCAGGCTTGCCAAGTTGTAAGTGAGTGCTAGTCAATGAGGATTGCTAGTTAGTGTTGACCATGTCTCGTCTTTGGTAAGGTTGAACGGTTATTTTTGCCGACCTTCTGGAACGAACAAGCTACATGTCTACATGTGGTGAGTGCACCGCGCAAAACCATCAAGCAGGTGCCTAGATGTGAAGAATATTGGCTTAACCTGGCCGCGAGGGCAGAGCTTCAGGTAGGTGTGAGTTGTTTAAGGGCACCTTTTAAAGAACCACCCTTTTTGTTGTTTGGGGGGTCCCGCCGTTTTGACACATGTGACTCTGTATGGGCCATCGTCAATCGACACCTTTACCTGGGATTAGGTGGGATGGTCGTTTACCTGGTAGTAAGGATCCGTACTGACCATTGTCGTGGTTCTATTGTGGGGGAACCACGACCATAGGCTACGTAAGGCGCACTTGAATGTGAACTGTCCTGTTTGCTTTGGGGTCCTCTCCTTCTTCCCCCTCCCTCCCCAAATAAATCGCTGCGTTGAGCCGACTGTGCGCCAATCGCAGGAGCAGCTGTCTTTTAAATTTGGTTGGCACTTTTTCAGGGAAACCGAAGGGTTCCCCAAGCATAGATACCAGGTCCGGATCAAGTTAGATACCATAGACTTGGTACTTGCAGAGCTTGAAGCTGTGAAAGGTCGGCTCTGACTCCAAATTTGGACCTTGCTTTTGCAAGGCCCGATGCTTCGTTGGACC